TCAGTGGCAGCATGAGGCTTTTAATTTGAAAACACTTGTTTTGTCGCTTGAGACTTTTATTTTAGAATTGTTCCCCAGACACTTCCTCTTCCGCATCCCTGAGCTCTACCACGCAGCAACATTGAAAGCACGAGTCCTGAATGGTCTGGGGAGTAGTGTCTCTGATCCATTACCACAGTAGATGGCGGTAATGCTCTTTTAAGAATGCGAACCGCCAATAAGCTCAAAGAAGAAGAAGAAGAAGAAGAAGAAGAAGAAGAAGAAGCTCCACCAATAGGAAGCGGACAGGCGTTCATTCAGGACTGTCGTGGGCGCAGTGGCGGCTTCAGAAATGTTTTATAAACTTTTGATAGTTGCTTTCCTCGCTGTTAGTTTATACGGCACGCCGTCAGATGGACAGAAAAAGAAGGAGGTCAGTGGATTTTAATTGGGTTTTTATTGGATGGTTTTCCTCCCTCATATACACTGAGCTCCCTGGCTGCTCAAATCGTCTTCTGCTTCTCGTAGCTTCGCTCTGTCTCAAAACCACAAGGGATTAAATGGCGTATTATGTGTTTAAACACTGTGTTCCATCTGTAAACCACTTGAAATGAGTTATTGATTTGGGTTTTCCTCAGTGTATTATGAGCTGATACACTAACTAAGCTAAGCTTCCTGCTGTACAGCTGACCTCACTGCTCCTGAATTAATTACTAACTTAATAAACCTGTTTTTTTGTTAGTGTGCATATAATATAAAGGAAAACGTGAGGTTAGCACATAGAGACTGAAGCAGTGATTTGTGTGTGTCTGTGTGTGTGTCTGTGTGTGTGTCTGTGTGTGTGTCTGTGTGTCTGTCTGTGTGTGTGTGTTTGTGTTTGCAGACCCTGCTGTCAGAGAAGGTCAGTCAGATGATGGAGTGGGCCAGTAAGCGTGCAGTGATCCGGCTGAACGGAGAGAAGTTCAGGAGGCTGATCCGAGCCCCTCCACGAAACTACTCGGTCGTCATCATGTTCACAGCGCTGCAGTCACAGAGACAGTGTGCAGTCTGCAAGTGAGAGACCTGAGAAAGCGTTCGCTAGAGCTCAGTACAGAAACACCTCATTCTGCTGTCCAGCAGTGTTGTTACTAACCAAAGCTATTAAAAACCGTTTTTGGTGATTGAAATAAATTTAAAGGGGTCATATGATGCTGCTAAAAAAGAACATTAGTTTGTGTAGTTGGTGTAATGAAATGTTTATGCGGTTTAAAGTTAAAAAAACACATTATTTTCCACATACTGTACATTATTGTTTCTCCTCTATGCCTCGCCTTTCTGAAACGCGTTGATTTTTACAAAGCTCATCGGTCTGAAAAGCGAGGTGTGCTGTGATTGGCCAGCTATCCAGTGCATTGTGATTGGCCGAATACCTCAAGCGTGTGACGGAAATGTTACGACCCTCACATACTGTGATGCCCTGTCCCGGCGCGACGAGACAAAAACATATTAAAACCCATTATAAACGAGGCATTTGTTGCATCCAGTGGGGACATAATTACGGATTATAATGACTTATACTGTCTTTTTACGCATTGCATTGCATCGCGCCGCGTAAACATAAAACCATGTCTGCATTTGTGATCAGAGAAATGACAAACAACAAGTGCTACTCTACACTGCCCAAAACTCGCGTTTGAATCGTCAGTGGCAAATCCTTTAAATGAAATACTTATTTTCCACCATAATTTGCAAATAAATTCTTTAAAAATCCTACAATGTGATTTTCTGGATTTTTTTTTTCTCATTTTGTCTCTCATAGTTGAGGTATACCTATGATGAAAATTACAGGCCTCTCTCATCTTTTTAAGTGGGAGAACTTGCACAATTGGTGGCTGACTAAATACTTTTTTGCCCCACTGTATATAGAAAAGTATTTAAACATATAAGATTTACCTACTATACAACATATAGCCTATTTAAACGATACAATAATAACTATGCAACCTATAAAAACCTAAACCTATAAACCCAAACACCCTTTACATAAAACCTACATAAATGTCATGAAATGTCAAGTTATATGAAACAAATCCTAGTGTAAGAATTTATTTTTTTACTAATTTTAAAGCTAGGTATGACCAAGTTGTTTACAAGGTGTATTTTAGGTCATACAAGATTTACACCTGGATATTTATTAAAAGGTGAGGAACCACCATCATGCCTTACTTGCCAAACTAAAATGACTGTGAAACATATTTTATTGGCTTGTACTGTTTTTAATGTAAATAGACAACGGTTTTATTCAGAGGTGTGTCTAACTGATTTATTTAAAAATGTATCACCTGAATGTGTTTTAGAATTTTTGTCTAGAGTACATCTGAAATGTCTTTTATAACCGTTTGTTAATTGTATACCTTGTATAATTTATTCAGAGATCGCCATGAAAATAGCGTTGATGCTGATTAATAAATAAATACATAAAACTTAGACAAATTCTTGGATTCACACAGGACAGACATAGTGCAGAGGTAAACGTATACTGATATTAAAATTGAAACTGATAAATATAAAAAAGCTAATTCAATATTAATAAATACTTAAGCATAATACAAAAACAGCACTGCTGTTGTGTAACTTACAATATAAAAAACTGATGATCAGTAAGTTTTCAGTTGCTGTTATCTTGGCTGATATCTTGGAGTGGCCAGTCGCCATTATTACATTTATCAAATCGTTAAATTATCCAAAATTACCACAATCCATTCTTTGGGTCATTTCCATGAGTAGTGTAATCAAACACTGCTCTGTTTGTTTGAATGTCTCAACCATCAACATTGGCTTTGTCCCAAATCGTGGTGCACACTTTCGTGATATAATGCTGTTTTCACTATCAGGACGTCAAAGCCGTAGGAGTCTGCTGTGTGTGGAGTCGCCTCAGTGCGGCTCAGCAGAAGTGTTTATCGAGGACAAGTGTTGACTATAAGCTCGCAAACACGCTTTACAAACCAAAAATGACACTGTACGATAATTTGGAGTTGAAGTGGATGCACATGTGGCGGCCGTTGTAACCCCACGAGACTATTAACGGTACAGAAAATCTGGCTTTTGAGACATTGACTTGACTAGTAACTTTGGGATGGAATTCAGTTTTTTCCATCAGTGGCAGATGAGGAGAGTGTTTGGGAAAACAAAATGAGTCATTATTTCTGCACTGAATTAATTGTGTTAAAACATGAATATATAAAACATATTTTATGTGGAAAAAGTCATTTTTTTGTTTTGTGTTTTTTACTTTTGTTTTCAGGCAGGCAGATGAAGAGTACCAGATCCTTGCAAACTCTTGGCGTTATTCGAGTGCATTTACTAACAGGATTTTCTTTGCAATGGTGGATTTTGATGAAGGCTCAGACGTTTTCCAGATGGTAACTACTCGAAATATATTTTATATTTTAGGGTTGCAAATGTTGTTTTATGTACAAATGAAAACAAATGTGAACATGAAACAATATTTGCAACCCTTTTTACTTCCATAATGTGATTATAACTCAAAGTAAAACAATAGTCAACGAAAAAATTAAATAAAAAAAAGAAATTGGGAGCAGGACTTTGAGTTTTATCCAGTTGAAGTTAATATTCATATGCAGTGTTGAGGGTAACGCATTACAAGTAACATGAGTTATGTAATCTGATTACTTTTTTCCCAAGTAACTAGTAAAGTAATGCATTACTTTTTAATTTACAAGAAACATAACTGAGATACTTTTTTCAAATAAGTAACGGCAGTTACTTTGTTTTCCCATTTATTGACTGACAGCTCTCCTGTTGAGAGAAATCAGGAGTAAGTGCAGAAGAGCTGTGTGTGAAAATTAAGTTCTAGACTAAATATGAACATGTATTTACTCATCTCACTGCAAAGAACCAGATTCAGTATTCCTCAAAATGAATAAAAACTGTGAAATACAAACCTGCAATAATGAAATGTTAAGTTCCAGAGTGGCAGCACAGCTGAGAGGTTTGTCTGAGCTGCACCTTTACTCATTTCACTTTTTATGTAAAAGACAAATATAACATTTGCAGAAAATATAGCTTTTTTTTATATTAAAAACAAACAAGCAAGCACAGCCCAGATGAGGAAAAAGTAACACAACACATTACTTTCTATAAAAAGTAACTAAGTAATGCAATCCGTTACTTTTGTTAGGGAGTAACGCAATATTGTAATGCATTACTTTTAAACGTAACTTTCCCCAACACTGGTCATATGCACATCTGAAAGGAGCCAATAAAATTATTAAATAGTCTGCAATGATTATGTAATGTCAAGTTGTTTCATTATTAAGTCCAGTAATTACTCAATACTTGTTTAATTCTGCGTATGTCCTCCACAGCTCAACATGAACTCGGCTCCGACGTTCATCAACTTCCCGGCCAAAGGCAAACCGAAGCCAGCGGACACATACGAGCTGCAGGTCCGAGGCTTTGCGGCTGAACAGCTGGCTCGATGGGTGGCGGACCGAACAGACGTGCATGTGAGACTAGTGCAGACACATCCAGAATCTGAGCTGAACGCTCACATCAGGCTTTAACATGCTGTCGCCTGTCGTTCAGATCCGGGTGATCAGGCCTCCGAACTACGCCGGGCCACTGATGCTGGGATTGCTGCTGGCGTTCATCGGCAGTCTGGCTTACTTGCGGCGCAATAACCTGGAGTTCCTGTTCAATAAGAACGTCTGGGCTTTCTCTGCACTGGTGGGCACCTGTGTTTTATAATGCAAACATGAGATTCTTCTCTGAGTTCCTTATTCTGTTGATGCCCTTGTAAAGGTTTTTAGGTCACATTTTAGTTTGGGGACAAATTCTCACTTTTAAACAATGACTTTTGCTGCCATAAACTCCTAATTTGCTGCTTATTAATTAGGGCTGTGCAATTAATCACATGTGATTGTCATGCGCATCTCGTCAGTAAAGCCGGTTCTGTGATTAGTAGTAAATCTCCATCACATGCTTTCAGATGGAGCGGCATTTAATACACAAGACAAGCTACGCAATATCACGTTCGATTTGTCTGCGATTTATGAACACGTTTTTTTTTTTTCCGAGCTTGTCAGTGAGCTACGGCTCTGTGTAGTAAATGCCGCTCCATCTGAAAGCATGTGATGGAGATTTACTACTAATCACAGAACCGGCTTTACTGACGAGATGCGCATGAAAATCGCTTGCGATTAATTGCACAGCCCTATTATTAATAGTTGTTAAGGTAGTTGTTACTATTAGGTATGGCGTGGATTATTAAGGGATCTAGAATATGGTTATGCAAAATAATGCATTAATATGTGCTTTATATGTACTAATAAACAGCCAATAAGCTAGTAATATGCATGCTAATAAACAACTAGTTAATAGTGAGAACTAATAAAGTGTTACCAGTTTTTAATCAAGTGAGTATAAATTTAGCTTTAGAGTGTTTAGGAAAAATTGGTCTTTAATATCTAATTTAGTTTCTATTTTAAGTTTTAATAACTCCAGTATGGTTTTGATTATGAAAATAGCCACAGAAGCTGGCGTGCATTTAAACAGACAAACATGATGCAAATATGTTTAGCATATTCTAATAAAATGGAAATTACTCTAAGTAAATAACAGAATGGGAATGGAATTGTTTGCCAGATGAAAATGACAATTAATAGAAACCCAATTCATTTCTAGAGTCTTTGATCATTGTTCCTTATTTACACCTACCATTGTCTTAGGCTACGTTTACACGACAACGGTGTAGTCAAAAACGGAAAAGTTTTTTCCTTGCGTATTTAAAAAGGTCCACGTGTACACGACAACGTTTTCAAAACGATTCGCGTTTACACATATCCGCAAAAACGCTGTATTACGTATGCCAGGCCAGTAGTTGGCGCTGTCACCTTGTTAGTAAACAGTACCTGTAGGGAAGTGAAGATTATATGTTGTATGGTTGTATATGATGCGTCTCCGCTGTTGGTTGTAATATTGGTGAAGTAAATCCACACTTTGCTGAAGAAGCGTTAGCAAACTCTTGAGCAGCAACAACAGTACCATGTACTCCGCCATTGTTGTGTATGTTTGTTCGCGCTTGCCTTTAAAATCGACACGTACTGCGCATGTCTACATACCTAACATGTACTACGCACGCACATGACGTCACCGTTTTCAAAGATTCTCTTTTTGGGTGTTTACACGGAAACGACAAGGTGCCGTTTTCAAAAACTTCCACTTTGAAACCCATTTTCAAAAATATGCGTTTTCAGTCCCCAAAACGCCGTTGTCGTGTAAACGAACAGGCAAAACGCTTAAAGTTTCCAGTTTTTGGCTGAAAACGTCGTCGTGTAAACGACCCCTTAATAACTCTAAACAAATTAACAACTGCATAGCAATGCATTCACAACCATTCTAAAAACCTTAGAAACTGTGTAACAACACCCTACTAACATAGAGAATTTAGCATAGGCAAGCATTTTTAGTTTCTTCAGAAAAGACCTAGTTAACATGAACACCTTTCTCTCTCTGTCTCTCTCGATCTAGTGTTTTGTTTTGATCATGACTTCGGGTCAAATGTGGAACCACATCAGAGGACCTCCATACGCTCACAAGAACCCAAACACTGGCCAAGTGGTGAGTTAAGGCTGATTTATACTTCTGCGTCGGACCTACGCCGTAGCTTTGAAGTATAAATCAGCCTTTAGACCCAAAGGCTGATGATACACGGGCCAACATTTTGAGCCATTTTGCCAGGCAACTTTTTTTCGCGATATTGCGTAGCTTGTCAGTGATCTACGGCTCTGTGTAGTAAATGCCGCTCCATCTGAAAGCAAGTGATGGAGATTTACTACTAATCACAGAACCAGCTTTACTGACGAGACATTCGATTATTTGCACAGCCCTAGTGCTGATGTATTTCATATTGAGAATTGTTTGCCACTTTTCTTTAATCATTCTAGAGAGCATTTGATTGGACAAAATTTGAGTCATCAGTATTTTTGGTCCAGTTTTCCTGGAAAAGAAAGACTGTAAATCTTAAATGTGTTTTTTTGCATAACACTAACATCCATAATCCTAAAACTACACAACTCTTCAGTTTCTTGAGGTCTTTAAACGGGCTATGGCATGCCTTTTTCATTCTTTTCACGTTCCTTGAGTTTAACGTGTAATGTTAATGTTTTTTGCTGCCAAACATCTGCACATTTTCCACTCTCATTCAGACTCCCTATCAGAAAAACGCTCGGTTTTGGTGTTTTGTCTCCTTTAAGGCTTGTCAATAAACGGCCACTGTTATGATTGAATAATGCCACTGCATTGCCTCGCTGCACTGAAAATGAGATTTTTCATGTCATGATTCCTTTAGGTTTTCATTTGTTCAGCCCACAGTGACATACGTTTCTCATTTCAGAGTTACATCCATGGCAGCAGTCAGGCTCAGTTTGTGGCAGAGACTCACATTGTTCTTCTCTTCAGTATCCTTTGCTGCACTCAGATCAGTTACACTGCATGATTGCAGTTACATGCTGAATAAAAGTATTCATTTCTCTTAAAACAGCAAAAAAATTACCTGTTCAGTACTGTATATGGACCCATGGATTGGCTGTGGTTGTATGGCTAGTTTCATGTCAGTCGTGATCGTGTTCCTGAGCTCTGCTTCAGATGCTGCGGTGACTTTAGGAATAGTGCTGCTTCATGAGGCTGCGACCTCTGACCTGGACTTGGGGAAGAGGAAAAGTATGCTGTCATCAGCCTGTGCTCTTTATGAGCGCTTGATAGATCAGAACAGGTTTGATTGTGGTCTTGTTTCTCTGCAGTCATGTGTGTAGCAGGAATCGGGCTGGTGTTGCTGTTCTTCAGTTGGCTGCTCTCCATCTTTAGGGCCAAATATCACGGATACCCTTACAGGTGAGATCATTAGACAGCTGTCTAATAAATGGCCGGAAATATCAGTGCAAAGGTCAGAAAGTCAGAGAGCCCTAATGAAAATACTTCTGTAATGCATTGTTATGCAAGTTACAGATTATATAATTAGAGTAAAATGAATTTGAGAGTCTCTTGGTATTTGCTTTTAAGCTTATTAGAATGATTTCCGAAGGATCGTGTGACACTGAAGACTGAAGTCGTGATGCTGATGAAAATTTAGCTTTTCGTCACAGAAATAAATTATATTTTAAAGTATATTAAAATTGAAAACCATTCATTTAAATTGCAGTAATATTTCACAATATTACTGTTTTTTTCTGTGTTTTTGATAAAATAAATGCAGACTGGATGAGCATAAGAAACTTCTTTAAAGAAAACATTACAAATCTTAACAATCCTAAACGTGTGTGTGTGTGTGTGTGTGACTCTGTCTGTCTGTCTGTCTGTCTGTGTGTGTGTGTGTGTGTGACTGTGTGTGAGTGTGTGAGTGTGTGAGTGTGTGTGTGTGTGAGAGTCTGTGTGTGTGTGTGTGTGTGTGTGTGTGTGAGAGAGAGTGAGTGTGA